TAATTTTGATGTTTTACCATATGTTTTATGTTATGTCTCCAAATGTATATATACATATACATGTATATATAAATGCTTGTGAGCCATTAGAAATTAAGCTGAAAAAGGCATAATGCTTCTTTACCACTAGTTACTACAGAACAGAATATCCAGAGTTTTTATAAATCAACAAAAACAAAAGTAGTTTAATAGACGAACATGGGCAAAGGACATGGAAAAGTGTAAATGGTACACTAAAAGAAGCAAGCATTTTATTTGGACTTCCTTTGTTCTTTTAAAATTGATTTAGAAGGTGAGTTTTTTCCTTGACCCCGGGTAAAACCTTGGGCAGAACCTGAACATTTTGCCTACTGTGGTTCACGTAATCGCAATTGCCATGATTATACCAAGTGTCATATGAACGTCTCACTTCAGAAATCAGAATATTCATTTCCATGTAATAATCACAACGTTAGACTTGATTTAAAGTAAAACTTCTCCCCATTGGCATCAGGGCTTTGGCAAGTAGGAGGCTTCCCTCCCTCTAGCTTCCACTCCTCCTACCCTCATCTTACTAACCTGATCTTCCTAACCTGCCAGGGTAACAGCAGCAGAGTGAGGGTGAAAGAACTGTCTTAACCTCCCCACAACTCTCCCCTCCAGGCCACTGTGAGCTCCCTGAGCCTGGACGGATTTAGAGCTGACTGTCCCCTTCCCTTGAGGAGTACACATCAGGCTTTCTGAGTGATCCTGCAGGTACCACTCCCAGTAGACTTGCAGTGTGGAACAGGCACCTCCAGCCTGCTCATCCTTGTCCTGTTAAAGGGAGAAAGGTGAGCTCATAGATGCAGTTCTCTCCAGAGAAATTCTCCTCGCAAAATCACCTCCAACCCTACCCTCTGGACCCTTTGATACAGACATGTAGCCGAGTATCAGTCACACAACTCTCTTTGAATTCTGATACTATATTTTGATATCTTTATTGAAACTTCCTACTTATCCTATTACACAAGCAATTTACAGAATTTCTCAATGTCATAAAATTAAAACAAAAACATGATATAAGTTTTAGTCTACCAAAAGGACAAAAGTTAAAATAAAAATAATACTTAATTCTGGTGATGATGCAAGAAAAGTCATTTATCTACTGTTGGTGTTAATATAAATGGATTAAATCTTTGGGAGGCTAATTTGCAAATATCTATTGAAATTTTAAATATATATACAACTGATTTTGTAATTACACTTCTAAAAATTTATTGTAGATAAATGTTTGAACAAATGTGAAAAAGTAGTCAATTTTTTTATTCTGGCATAGTAAAAAAAATATTGAAATGAGCTCAAATATCTGTCAATAGAAGAATGGTTAAGTAGATTGTGGCATAGCCATATGAGAAAATTATTATTCATCAGTTAAGGAAGATGGAACACATTTATATGTATAGACATAGAAAGGAGTCCAAGATATCTTTTAAGTAAAAATTTAAAAGTTGGAGAATAAAATTATGTAACAGTCCTTTATTAAAAATCAAAACCAGAGGCCGGCCGCGGTGGCTCACACCTGTAATCCCAGCACTTTTGGAGGCCGAGGGTGGATCACCTGAGGTCAGGAGTTTGAGACCAGCCTGACCAACATGGTGAAACCCTATCTCTACTAAAAATACAAATTAGCTGGGCTTGGTGGCGCATGCCTGTAATCCAAGCTACTTGGGAGGCTGAGGCAGGAGAATCACTTGAACCCGGGAGGTGGAAGTGCAGTGAGCCAAGATCACGCCATTGCACTCCATCCTGGGCAACAAAGGCAAAACTCAGTCTCAAAAAAAAAGAAAAAAAAATCAAAACCAAAAAAAAAAAAAGCTAATGTAGAATTTTATATGTATAGAAAGAAGTGTTAGGAATATAAACCAAACAACTTAGTGTAGAAATTCCTAGGTAATTTGATTATAGGAAAGTCTCATTTTCTAATTTTGCACGTATGTATTACTTTTTAAACAAAATCTTATAGCATTTTTTTCAAAATCACAGAACATATTTTAAAATAAACTAGTGATGATGGAATCACAACAGTGAAAATTTAAGAAATGAATACAAAGTTCAAATCAAAAGTGATTTTATGATCTTAAATGCTTTCAACACAAAACTAGAAAGAGTAAACCTTCTCAGCATATTCCATATAATTGATACCACTTTAGAACTAATTTTAAGACAAGGAAACTGAGGTGGAAATCAATAACAAAAAACCATGCACAGGTCAAAATAAAATCAAAATAGAAATTTTATAAAATATTGTGGCATGAAACTAAAGCCATATTCAGAGGGAAATATGTAGCCTCAAAAATTTGTATTGAGAAGGAAGAACAAAAATAAATTATGTAAGTGTCCAACTGAAAAAAACTACCCCTTGTGTTTACACAACCTTGATATATGAGAGAGGTAGGGACAGCTAGTGCAGGAAATGACTTTTTCAGTAAATAGCATTAGGAAAATTGGTAGTCCACATGAGAAGATAAATAAAAATAGATTCCTATGTTACACCATTCCTAAAATGAATGCCACATGGTTTCAATACATGAAAACCAAAATTTCCAAATTCTGAGGAAAAAAATATAGGAGAATGTCTTTATGACCTTGGGAAAAGGAATGATTAAATAAGACACAAAAAGCATAAATCAGAGACGTGACATATTTGACTAAAATAAAACCTAAATTGCTGTTCAGGAAAGGACAGTACAAACAAAATAAAAAGATAAATGGAAAACTGGGAGAAGATTTTGCAGTATACACAATGAACACAGAATTGTATCCAGAATATTAAAAAATAAAAAAAAGGAAAAGGCAAACAATAGTAAAATGTCCAAAGTATATGAATAAGTGATTCATAGAAGAGGAATCACAAATAGTGAATAAGCATAAGAACTGCACAACCACATTAGTAACTGGGGACATGCACACTACAACCGCAACGGGTACTATTTCCCATCCATCAGAATGGAAAACATTTTATAGTCTGACAGTACCAAACGCTGGCAAGAAATGGAGCAACGAACTCTCAAATACTGTTGTTAGAATATAAATTAATACAGGCCGGGCACGGTGGCTCAAGCCTGTAATCCCAGCACTTTGGGAGGCCGAGGCGGGTGGATCACGAGGTCAGGAGATCGAGACCATCCTGGCTAACATGGTGAAACCCCGTCTCTACTAAAAATACAAAAAACTAGCCGGGCGTGGTGGCGGGCGCCTGTAGTCCCAGCTACTCGGAGGCTGAGGCGGGAGAATGGCGTGAACCCGGGAGGCGGAGCTTGCAGTGAGCCGAGATCGCGCCACTGCACTCCAGCCTGGGCGACACAGCGAGACTCCATCTCAAAAAAAAAAAAAAAAAAAAAAAAGAATATAAATTAATACAATCACTTTGGAAAACAATTTGACCATGGCTATTAAAGATAAAGGTAAATACAGCCTATGACCTAGCACTCCTGCGCAGATACATCTTGCTGAGAAATTGTGGAACATGTACATAGAGAGATGTGTGTGAGAATACTTAGAGCAGCAGCAGAGTTTGTGATATGAAAAAATTGGAAACTCCCTCAATGTTAATAAACAAGAGCTTGGGTAAATTGTGGCATGCTCACAAAAGAGAATATTGTAGAGCAGTTAATGCATAAAACCTGCATGTATCCATATGAATAAATCTCAAAACCAATGTTGAATAGAAGGTGCAAGTGGCAGGTGGCAGAAGTCTTCATTCTATGCTTGCAGAATGAATGTCACTTATGCAAAACAGGTTCTGCCCACACATGACCCACATCTGGGCACGTAGCTGATGCTCAGAAGTGGTAAACTAACCTGAGAAGGACTGCCATCGCTACCTTCATTGTGGACAGGGACAAGAGTATTTCACCCTTATTTTACAGGCTAAATGGAAGGCCAGGGGAAGGAGATTTTCTTTTCTTTTGTTATTTTACTTTAAGTTTCAGATACATGTGCAGAACATGCAAGTTTGTTATATAGGTATAGTGTGCCATGGTGGTTTGCTGCACCCATCAACCAATGATCTAGGTTTTAAGCCCCACATGCATTAGGTATCTGTCCTAATGCTATCCCTCCCCATGTCCCCGACCCCCAACAGGCCGGGGTGTGTGTTGTTCCCCTCCCTGTGTCCATGTGTTCTCATTGTGCAACTCCCACTTATGAGTGAGAACATGCAGTGGTTAGGTTTCTGTTCCCGTGTTAGTTTGCTGAAGATGATGACTTCCAGCTTCATCCATGTGCCTGCAAAGGACATAATCTCATTCTTTTTATGGCTGCATAGTATTCCATGGTGTATATGTACTACATTTTCTTTATCCAGTCTATCATTGATGGCTATTTGGGTTGGTTCTATGTCTTTGCTATTGTAAATAGTGCTGCAATAAACATACGTGTGCATGTGTTTTTTTGTTTTGTTTTTTGTTTTGTTTTTTGTTTGTTTTTTGTTTTGAGACAGAGTCTCACTCTGTCACCCAGGTTGGAGTGCAGTAGCACAATCTCGGCTCACTGCAACCTCCACCTCCTGAGTTCAAGCAATTCTCCTGCCTCAGCCTCCCAAGTAGCTGGGACGACAGATGTGCGCCACCATGCCCAGCTAATTTTTGTATTTTTAGTAGAGACAAGGTTTCACCATGTTGGCCAGGCTGGTCTCCATCTCTTGACCTCGTGATCTGTCTACCTCGGCCTCCCAGGCATGTTTCTTTATAGCAGAATGATTTTTATTACTTTGGGTATATACCCAGTAATGGGATTGCTGGATCAAATGGTATTTAAAAAGTCAAGAAACAGTAGATACTGGCGAGGCTGTGCAGAAATAGGAACACTTTTACACTGTTGGTGGGAATGTAAATTAGTTCAGCCATTGTGGAAGACATTGTGGTGATGCCTCAAGGATCTAGAACCAGAAGATTTTCATAAGGGGTCCCAGTGCTATGTGAAAAGAAAATGCATGACTCATGAAAGCCTTCTCCTGCCCCACTCCACACGCTCCGCACCTGACAAGTGTCCAAGCCCCATTCAGAGCGGGCACACAGCACATCATTCCCAATGAAGCTCTTCTTGTCCTTCAAGAAGAGGAATTGGTACCGCTGTCTGCAGATGTCATTGTTCACGATCCTCACAGCCACCTCGTGAAGACTGTAGGGAGTACTTGGGGTCACTGAGGAAACAGAGAGCCAGCCTTGTCATCCCCTCAGCTTTTCGGCACATCTCCATCACAGTTGTCCATATTTGCTAAGGTAGGAGGGAGGGCCATTTCCTGGGATGGTGATTGATAAAGGCCCCAGCCCACAGTCTAACTTTTGAAAAAGCCCAGCTCATTAAAAAAGACTACACAAGGCCGGGCGCGGTGGCTCAGCGCCTGTAATCCCAGCACTTTGGGAGGCCGAGGCAGGCGGATCATGAGGTCAGGAGATCGAGACCATCCTGGCTAACACGGTGAAACTCTGTCTCTACTAAAAATACAAAAAAAATTAGCCAGCCATGGTGGCACATGCCTGTAGTCCCAGCTACTCAGGAGGCTGAGGCAGGAGAATGGCATGAACCTGGGAGGCGGAGCTTGCAGTGAGCCAAGATCGCGCCACTGCACTCCACACTCCAGCCTGGGTGACAGAGCGAGACTCCGTCTCAAAAAAATAAAAAAATAAAATAAAAAAATAAAAAAGACTACACAAAAGTGTCCCAGGGGGCTTGGAGTGATATCCAGGCACCAAAGGACAAGAGGGGATTTCTCCAGTAATTCAGGTTCTATGAGGGTGAAGAGCTGAGCTCTGCCTCATGGCCACCGGCAAGATGCCAAGACCCTAGAGTCCCAAGATGGCACCCCCTGGAAAGGAGGCCCCCACAAAGCCTCCCAGATTCTAGGACCCAAGGAGAGCACCGACAGGGGCCAGACCTCCAGGAATTTGGGGGTACCTCAGGATAACCAGCAAACAAGATGGATAGAGAAGCCTCAATACCTCAGTATGTCCTGAGATCATGGCCCTCATGCCATTAATGGGAACTCCATTAATAACCAAGAATTCACTTCCTGCAATGCTGCAGGGTAAGCACTTGGCATTTCATTTAACTTAACTTTGGGAACTGAGGTCCATGCAGGCCACATGCGTCTTTTACACTGGAGCACTGGGTCTATCTTTGTATCAAGAGGTCGGGAAATGTTTGCTGTCTGAGTGAATGAGTGAATAAAGGAATGAATGAAGGAGCCCGCTGTGTTCTGAAGAGGCTAGTGTCTTGTAACCTCTGCTGGCCTTCACTCACCTTTTTTCCCTGTAGTTCCCCAGCCAATTACCCAGCACATGCTTCCAATGGATGGCTTGAATTTGATGTTAGGGAGGCAGACGGGCTGGACGAGGGGGGTCCATGGGATGGAGTTTCTGAGCTTTAGGAGGGCAATGTCCTGAGACACAAGATTGCTGAAATCCTTATGAATCGTCATGCGAATGAGCGGGAGTTGAGTGCCGTTTTCTGGGAGGTGGTGGACTCCCACCATCACGGTGTACAGGTTGGGGTCCTTGGATCTGCAGGACCATGGGTAGGAGGCAGGTCGCCAATGGTAAGGCCATAAGTAAGGGAGGAGACGGGCCCTTAGCTCAGGACCACCCAGCCAGGCCCCCTGCTCCCAGATCCCTAGATTCACCAGGGACCCCCGAGGCCAGAAAGCAAAGTCCCCAGGCCCCACTGACTGACCTCTGCAAGCAGTGCGCAGCCGTGAGGATCCACTGGTGGTGGATGAGGGAGCCACTGCAGATGTACGTGCCCAGGAACAGGATGCTCACCTGCCATGGCCACTTGCCTACCTCTACCAGCTTCCCCTTCACCACCCTGCAGGACACGTTGGTCTGACCGCAGGCCCGGAGCCAGGGCCCTGAGGAAAGAGGATCTCAGGCAGCAAAGGGCAACCCTCACACCCCTGGACACAGCAGATTTGAGACAGAGAGAGCCGCCTTCCAGCCCTGTCGTAAGCAGCTACTGCCACATGCACATGTGGGAAGGGGCTTTCTCCACTGCCTCAAAACTGGCAACCAGCCGGGCACAGTGGCTCACACCTATAATCCCCATGGCTCTGACCCATGGCCACCTGCAAGGTGCCAAAACCCTAGAGCCCCAAGATGGCACCCCCTGGAAAGCAGGCCCCCACAAAGCCTCCCAGAATCTAGGACCCAAGGAGAGCACCAACAAGGGCCAGACCTTCAGGAATTTGGGGGTACCTCAGGATAACCAGCAAACAAGATGGATAGAGAAGCACTTTGGGAGGCCAAGGTGGGTGGATCACTTGAGGTCAGGAGTTCAAGACCAGCCTGGCCAATATGATGAAACCCCATCTCTACTAAAACTACAAAAATTAGCCTGGCATGGTGGCACATGCCTGTAATCCCAGCTACTAGGGAGGCTGAGGCAGAAGAATCACTTGAACCTGGGAGGTGGAGGTTGCAGTGAGCCGAGATCATGCCACTGCACTCCAGCCTGGGTGACAGAGCCAGACTCCATCTCAAAAAAAAAAAAAAATGGGGGGGGCAACCAAAGGCCAGGGTCAGCAGGAGGTACCCCATATTCTAGAGTTCCCAAACAATGAGGATGAGACAACTCCTCCTGGGCTTATTATAAGCCATCAGCCAGGACTCATCCCTGCCCATAGTTTACCCAGATGGTTGGGGGAGAGAAACAGAAGAGAGAATCACTGCAGGGGTGAGCTGCCAGCCCGGGGATTGGTGATGGGGCACTAGTTGGCCAGGCTGCCTGTCCCCAGTGAACAGTAATGTCATACTGCACTGCTCCAGGGGCCACCCATGTGACCGTGTGAGGAAGTGAGTAGAGATGCGTGTCCATTCCCTCCTTGACTCTCACTGGCCCCAGCAGCAGGGGTGAGAAGAGAGCAGGCTGCACTGAACCAGGTGTGAGATGGAGATTTTAAATGGGCCCAGTCTGGATTGGTACAAGTACTTACTAACTAAACATCACAAAGGACAAGAAAGGGAGAAAGTCACACCAGTAATCACAGAGCTTTGGAAAGCCCAGGAGGGAGGATGGCTTGAGGCCAGGAGTTCAAGGCCAGCCTAAGTAACACAGTGAGATCTTGTTTCTACAAAAGCAAAATTAATCAGGTGCGATGGTGCACACCTGTAGTCCCAGCTACTCAGGAGACTGAGGCAGGAGGATCACTTGAGCCCAGGAGTTCAAGGCTACAGTGAACTAGGATTGCACCCTCCATTCCAGCCTGGGTGACAAAGCAAGACCCTGTCTCTAAAAAAATTTTAATTTCTTTTTTAATATGGAATGCTTCACGAATTTGCATGTCATCCTCTTTTCACCCCCAAAGAGTCTATTGAACACAGTATTGAATTCTGGCTGCAGCACTCACAAACCACTGAAGCTCTATAAGCCTCAATTTCCCACTGTGAAATGGGATGCTGATGAAGCTCGCCTCCCAGGGTGTTGCGACCTCACTCAGTCTCAGCTGGGCTGATACAGACTGGGCACTAAGCCTCACTTCCTCATCATTGCAAGATGGAGTCTCCTATGACTGTGCCTCCCAAACAAACTCAATCGTTCCATGGATGTTAGTGTTAGTCTGTTTCTTTTTTTTTTTTTGAGATGGAGTCTCACTTTGTCACCCAGGTTGGAGTGCAGTAGTGTGATTTCAGCTCACTGCAACTTCCACTTCCCAGGTTCAAGCTGTTCTTATGCCTCAGCCTCCTGAGTAGCTGGGATTACAGATGTGCACCACCATGCCCAGGTAATTTTTGTACTTTTAGTAGAGGCAGGGTTTTGCCATGTTGGCCAGGCTAGTCTCAAACTCCTGGCCTCAAGTGATCCACCCTCCTTGGCCTCCCACAGTGCTGGGATTACAGGCATGAGCCACTGCGCCCACTGTGTTCCCCCATTTTTAATAAGGCTCTTCCCTCCTGTGTTCATGGTCACCCTGGAAAATGGAACTGCCCTGACACCGTTTGGATTCTCAGTCTGCTGAAGATGTACTACCCACCAGGACATGGACACACCAAGGCCCTTCAGGCATGAGGACAGGCCGACACAGGCTCCCAGCAAACCCTCCAGCCTCTGTCCCATGTCCCTGAAGCTTACCTTCAATATATGGCTGATTCTCTAATCTGGCAGAAGAAAGTGGAGCTGTAAGGCCTTGAAGATACCCCGGCCCACAGGCCATGGCAAGCTGGTACCTACTCCTCAATGCTCCTTCTAATGGGATGTGGAGGCAGAGGGGGTGTGGCACCTCCACTGTGCCAAGATTCTAGAACTCATGGATTGTGTGTTTATGACTGTGGGGAGTAGGCATCTGCCCCAGGGTTGGGGACCTACCTGGCTGTGGCAGTCACAGGACTCTGAGAAGGAGGCAGTGTGGTCATGGCAAGGCCCTGCCAGGGCCACAAGGTGATGCTGCTGTCAGGAACCTCCCTGGAGCGGTACTCCTGGTGCTCGGCCCATGACAGTGCCTCCTGGGCCCAGTTCTCTGCAGTGTACCCCAGCGTTGGCCTTGATGGTGCCCCCGGTGCATAGTTCTGAGCCTGTGACAGCACGACATGCTTGGCTTGTGACAGTGCCTGGTGCCTGGCCCATGAGGCACCCTAGTGCCCAGCCCAGGTTTCGTTGTGAACCCCTCTCATTCCCCCCTGGAGGTGTGGAAACTGAGGCACTGAGAGGAAGATAACTAGTTCCTGTAGTATGTGATGTGATTGAGGTGGAACTGGAGGTTTCTTTTTTCCCTCAGGGTCTGTATTTTCTTTACTTTTCTTTCTTTCTTTTTTTTTTTTTCAGACAGGGTCTCACTTTGTCACCACACTGGAGTGTGATGGTGGTGAGATCATAGCTCACTGCAGCCTCCACCTCCCAGGCTCAAGCAATCCTCCTACCTCAGCCTCCTGAGTAGCTAGGACCACAGGTATGCACCATTATGCCTGGCTAATTTTTTAAAAATTTTTTTAGAGACGAGGTCTCACTGTGCTGCCCAGAGTGGTCTCAAGCTCCATGGATTACAAGCATGAGCCACTGTGCCCAGCCCAGGGTCCGTATTTTCAAGAGAAGAGCTCCTGGGTTGAGGAAATCTAGGTATGTTTAACCTGGGAAGGTGGCTTCCTGAGAGGAAGCTGCTTGCAGACTTGGGTCTTCACAAATCAGCAGAATGAATGACATCTGGGGACACCTCATCACCACTCCCCTGAGGTCTCCCCTCCCAAGGATCCCAGGCTCCTCACACTGTCCATGCAGGAAGCTCCTGCTCCACCCTGCAGCCAGTGCTGCCAAAGACACGGAGTGACGAGGTTGTTCACACACTGCTGGGGAGATAAACTGACACGACCACTGTAAACGACTGTTTGGAATCATTTAGCAGAGCAGAAAGTGTGCCTACCCCACAACCCACCGTTCCACTCCTGGCTTCATGCCCTAGAAACTGCACAGATGCAGCAGGACAGGTGCAAGAGATTGTTCACTAGCAGCGCTGTTGGGAAGAGTCCCAGCTGGAAACTACCCAACTGCCATCTAAGGTGCAACAGCTACACAGAATCTTCAGCAGCGGTGAGAATGGATGAGCTGCTGCTACACCTAACTAGATGGTGACTCTCATCACCGTATTCTGACCGAAAGAAGTTGGATACAGTCTGTGTACTGTATGAAATTCAAAAACAGGCAAAACAAACTAATTTTAGAGATATATGGTAGAAAATCAAGGAAATTATACAATCAGATTCCCTCCAGGGGGAAAGACATAGAAAGGGAAAGGAGAAAGAAAAGAGAAACTTCAGAGAAGAGAAACGCGATCACTCTTCTCTCTTTGCAGAAAATAATTCTTTGGGGGAAACAACTAATCAAGAAAACAAAACGGGATGACTGAATAAAAGATCAGGCATATCTGTTATCACAACCAATGTGAATGCATAGAATTCTACTTTTAAAATAAAAAGATTCTCATGTTGGGTAGAAAAAAACCCATCCACATACTACTTATTAGAGACACACCAAAAACAAAGTGGCATAAATAAGGTGAAAATAAAAAGATGTGGCTGGGCTTGGTGGCTCACACCTGCAATCCCAGAACTTTGGGAGGCTGGGGCGGGTGGATGGCTTGAGCCCAGGAGTTCGACACCAGCCTAGCCAACATAGTGAGATCTCGTCTTTACAAAAAATTTTAAAAATTAGCCAGGTGTGGTGGCATGCGCCTGTGGTCCCAGCTACCCGGGAGGCTGAGATTGTGGTGAGCTGAGATCACGCCACTGCACTGTAGACTGGGCAACAGAGTGAGACCCTGTCTCAAAAAAATATTAATTTAAAAAATTAGAAATTAATTAAATTTTTAAAAGATAGGCAGAAATGTATTTATATGCAAGCCAAAGTGGCAATGGCAATGTTAATCTTTAAAAATGATTCAAGACAAATGATTTAAACAGAAAAAGAAGGCTATTTTGTGTTGAAAAAGGCACAAATTGCAATATGTAACATCATAAAGTTCTGTCCATCAATAAAATAACATCAAACATATGAAACAAAATCAATCAGCAAAACATGAGAAATGGGAAAATCTTTCTTGCAGTGGGACAGTCTTCTCCAACTCACTCTGTCCTTGAGAGGTGGAATAGCTATACAACTACTAATAAAATAATACTAATAATTAGAGCAATACATTATTTAAAAACCGTATTGCGTGTGCCCGAGCAAATTTATAACCTTAAAGATGTTTATTATTGAATAACAGAGAATGAAAATAAATGACCTAGACACTCAAATCAAAAAACTGTAAAAAGTAGAAAATAAACCAGAGGAAAATCTGAAGGAAAAAAAGTACAAAATATAAAATTGTACCTTAATCAATTAGAAGAACCGCCAAAATTAAGAATGAACTCCGATCTGGATCTTTGAAAAAACAAGTAATGTTACATGGGACAAAGGGCATGTTTTCTATTGGTAGGGTGTAACCCACTAAGATAATACAGCAGGCATGAACCCTATATTCCTCACAACACAGCTTTGAAACATAGAAAGGAAGAATTGTGCAAGAAGAAATAGACAAATTCTTAATTTTTGCAGTAAACTTCTTAGAAATCAACAAATTATGTAGCCCTAAAATATGTCAGGTGTTGAGATAATTTGAATAACACAATCAACAAGCCTGATCCAATCAGTTATGCCTCAAACTTTGTTCTAAAACACACACTTTTAACTTTTATTTTAGGTTCGGGAGTACATTTGCAGGTTTGTTACTTAGGTAAACTTGTGTCACGGGGGTTTGTTGTACAGATTATTTCATCACCCAGATACTATGCCTCGGATCCAACAGTTATTTTTTCTGCTCCTCTCCCTCCTCTCTTAGATCACTAAAACCAAGGAGACCCCAGGAACAATGCTGCTGTTGTTCCCCTCTATGTGTTCATGTGTTCTCATCATTTAGCTCCCACTTATAAGTGAGAACATACGGTATTTGGTTTTCTGTTCCTGCATTAGTTTGCTAAGGATAATGGCCTCCAGCTCCATCCATTTTCCCGCAAAAGACATATCTCATTCTTTTTTATGGCTGCATAGTATTCCATGGTGTTTGTGTAACACATTTTCTTTATCCAGCATCATTGATGGGCCTTTAGGTTGATTCCATGTCTTGGCTCTTATGAATAGTGCTGCAATGAACATTCCTGAAAACATACACTTTCATTTCAGATGCACAAGTAATACTCACTAAGACTAATCAAATACTAAGCCACAAGTAAAACCTCAAAAAATTCAAAAATGCAGAAATAATTAAATTCATATTCAGTCATGCATCACTTAATGACAGGGATGCAGTGTGAGAAATGTATTGTTAGGCAATTTCATCACCATGCAAACATAAGACTGTGCTTACACACGCCTAGATGGTACATATATATTTTTATGTATATGTATTTTTTCATCAGGAAAACCAAATGTCCCAGCACCATTACTGAATATCAGTCATTTCCCTTACTTGTCTGCAATGCCACTATCAAGTACCATATATCAGTTTTCTATATATGCTCCATTATAATCTTATGGAACCACTCTTGTATATGTGGTCTGTAATCGACTGAAATGTCATTATGTGGCATATGACTGTAGTGATATAGAGAAAAAGAAACTCTCATTCCTCCCCAGAACTAACCACCAGGAAATTAAATAACACCCTTCTACATAACTCTTGGGCTAAATAAGAAATATACTGTGAAATTATAAGCAATACAGAAATGAATGACAATGAGGCCAGTACGTATCAAATCCTGTGAAATATGGCTAAAGTGGGACTCAGAGGAAAATTTATGGAATTAACTGAAAATACTAGAACACAAGGAAGTCTAAAATAATGAACTAAGCACACTACTCAAGAGGTTACAAAAAGAGCAATAAAATAACCACATGGAGGCATCCACTTCTCATTTTGGTACATTTTCTTCTACTTTTTTTCTTTAAAAAAAAAGATTATGAGCAATATTTTTTAAGAAAAAAATGTAGAAGAAAATATACCAAAATGAGAAGCAGATGTCTCTGCGTGGTGGGACTCCAGGGGAAGTCTCCTTTCTTTTTTTTTTTTTTTTTTTTTTTGAGACGGAGTCTGGCTCTGTCACCCAGGCTGGAGTGCAGTGGCTGCGATCTCGGCTCACTGCAAGCTCCGCCTCCCGGGTTTACGCCATTCTCCTGTCTCAGCCTCCCGAGTAGCTGGGACTACAGGCGCCCGCCACCTCGCCCGGTTTTTTGTATTTTTTAGTAGAGACGGGGTTTCACCGTGTTAGCCAGGATGGTCTCAATCTCCTGACCTCGTGATCCGCCCGTCTCGGCCTCCCAAAGTGCTGGGATTACAGGCTTGAGCCACCGCGCCCGGCCGAAGTCTCCTTTCTTTAGGTTCAACTGCGTTTTCTAATTTTCTACAATAAACATGCACTACTTTTATAATCTGTTTAAAAACAGAAAGCAAGCTGCTTTTGGAGTACTATCGTGAGTCACTCCTGCTGCAGCCTAAAAGCCTGCCTGTTTCAGCTGTTCCCTCAACAGCACGCCTACTTTACAGACAAGGAAACTGAGGTCACAGGCCCAGACCTTTTTCTTAAGCCCCAGCACTAATGATACAGCAAAAACCAGCAGTCCGCACTCCAGAGAGGCTCCTGGCAGACTTAATTCCAGGAAGCTCTGCCATCCCACCCACAGCCAACCTCCAGGACTACCCCAGAAAAAAGAGTCAGCTCAAGTTTACACATGTTTAATCCCTGCTCTCCTGGTCCCAGATTCCAGAATCCTTCCAGGCTGCACTTCCCTTCTCCTGCTCACCCAAGGCCTAGTCATCCAGCACACTTCTCACCAGGATGCCAAAGCCAGACCCATTCTCCCAGGAGTTACTCTTCCCCACCCTGGCTCTTGTTGAAGATAGACACATGACCGTGGTCAAACCTCCATCTGGCCCCATTCAGCAAAGGCAAGGCAGGAGGAGGAGGGGGTAGGGAGGTCAGGAGCCCATCTGGGGCTGCAGCAGCCAGCACAGGAACAGGAGGCAGGCAGAGGTGCAGGGACCTGAGAAGGCTTCATTGCTCATTTGCTTCTTGATCCATTTGGTGTATTTGGTGACGCGGGTGTACACGCCTGGATTCTGTGCCTTGGCACAGGCCTTTTCCCAGGACAACACCCCAGCCAGAATCCATCTGCCCTCAACTTCACAAGCCAATGGCCCTCCAGAATCCCCCTAGGCAAAAAGAGAGGAGTGGTGGAGGCTGTGGGTCCAGCTGGGGCTGCAGGGCCCTGGGGACCCATGCCCACCCTCTGAGCTCTGCTGGGAGGCTTTTCACTCCCCCAGGGCCTCACTACTTGGGGGCCTCTTTCGGCTCCTCAGCTGGGACCCATACCCCAGAACCGGGGCAAAAGTCAGCATCACAGGGGAAGGAAGACAGGAGCAGAGCACCGCCAGGTGATGGTGACGGAGGGAGGCCGGGCCAACCCCGCCCCAGGGAACTGCCTCCACCCGGGAGTGATTCCCAACAGAAGTGGAGCTACCAGAACCTCTCAGAAACTCACATAGCACAAGTTTTCTCCATAATTGGTGGCACAGATCATGTCCCCCAGGACAAGGGGGACAACTGGGGGAAAGAAGGACTTCTTGTGGTAATGCTGGTCACACCTCTTGTTGTCCATGATAAACACCTCAGCCTCCTGCAGCTCTGGGGTCAGCGTGGAGTTGGCTGTGGAGCCCAGCAGGGTGAGCAGTGACCTCTCACTCCACCCAACCCTGACCTCTGTCCAGGGTCCTGTCCCCTTCACTCTGGAGACTCAGCCCAGCCACCCCCTGTCATACCTCCAAGCCCTCCCCTCCTTTACCGGCCCCTCCCCCTGCAGTGCAGGCCTTGTCTGAGAAGTCCCCGCCCTCAAAGGCTGAGTCCAGATCCCCTTCTTGGGAAACTTCTGCTTCTGAACCAAGCCAGCCATAACTCAAGTCTCATTGCAGCTGCTTCCAGTCTGGTGCCCAGCCCCACGCGGCTTCCCTGCAGACTGTCAGCTCTGCCGGCATGGCCGCTCTCTCCACCTTCGTTAACACTCGCTCCTCCTCCAGGGCCTCAAGGCAGTCCCTCTGCCCAGAGCTCATTCCGGATCCCTCCCAGCTGGATCTCAAGACCACCAGACAAGAACTTTGCCTTGTTTTCCTCAGCCTGTGCCCACACCCACACCCAAACATGACTTCCCTCCAGGCAGGGCATGCATTTCTAATCCCAAGGGCTGGGTGCTGACACTCAAAGTGTGTCAAGTGAATGAATGAGTGAATGCCCAGTTCTGAGCTTCTGTAAGACACAGATGGTCATGCCCAGCCCAGGCACTACCAGGCCTGAATGAGGTGTCCACATAAACAGTGACAATGGTCACCACGTGAGGAGTGGTCCTAACACATTCAGAGAACCAGGCCCAGCAGGAAAGGCCCCAGAAGGAAAGGAGTGTGCTCTCGGTGGTACCGCACCCACCTCCCATCCCATCCTGCTCACCTGAAAAGCGCTGCTTAACCTGGCTCCAGCCAGTCACCCAACACTGTGTCCCAACCTTCAGGTTGAAGTTGGGTTCCGGGAGGCAGATGGGCTGCACATACTCACTGAAGGTGACAGGTGCTTGAAGGTGGACAAGGGCAACGTCACCCATGATGAAGGTCCGGCCCCAGTACTTGGGGTGCATAATGATGTCCCTCACAGGGACCTGGAGGGCACTGCTGAAGTTCATGGGCTGCAGCTTGGAGGTGCCAAGCACCACTGAGTACTCTTTGGTGCTGTGGGAGACACAGAGCCCCACCTGGTAGGTATCAGACTCCCAAGCAGGAACACACTCCTACCCTACTCCAGTGGGGACGCAGCCCTACCCCCTTAGCAGGAGTCCTGCCTCCACCCCATCTGCCTAATCTAGCCTGAGGGCACTGAAGTTGGGAGAGCTGCCTGCCTCCTCATTCATCATTCAAACTGATTCAAGGTGGCCTGGTCTGTGTGCTGTGCGTGCAGGTGTGGAAGTGTTGGTGTACACATATGCTTTCATGTGTGATGGGGTAGGGGGCATGTTCTGGGTTTTCCTGTTGCTCAGTTGAGGGTGTAATCTTTGTTGCTTGGGGCTCCTGCCCTAGCTCAGTCCCTGGTCCCCAGGAGACCCCGAGCACAATTCTCACCTATCCCAGATGCCCTTCCCACTTCCTCCCTCCCTCCCTCCCACACTGTTTCACTCAGGAAATGAGGAAGCTGGACTGGGCCCATGGTAGCTCGGGGTCTCCAAGCCCTGGACACATGGGCCACACTCACCCTTGGATGCAGTGGGCCGCAGTCACCACCCAGCTGGGGTCAATGAGGGCCCCTCCACATACGTGCTCATTTTCCATCCGGAGGCTCACCTCCCAGGGCCAATGGCGGGTCATTTGCAAATCCTCCGACCACCAGGGCTCACCACAAACTTCAGGAAGTGTGCCGGGGAGACACACAGCAACCACATAGAGAAGAATGAGAAAGACTGAGACCTAGATGCCCTACAGGGCCAATGTGCACAAAGCTGTAAAGTCAGGGGCTCTTCCCATTTCAGCGATGGGGAGAGTGAGGGTGAGAAAAGGGCAGTGGCCTCTGCCCAAGAGCTTGATGGAAAGTGACAATGACAGAGGTAAAAAGCATCAAGGCAGACACATGGAGAGAGAGAGATTCTGAGTCACAGGGAGTCTTCAGCCCAGGACCTCAAAACAAAGGCAAGCAGAGAAGGAGCCCCAAGGCAAGAAATGCGTTTTCTTGCATCTGGGGAAGTTCCTCCCACTTCTGAAAAGCTATAATGCTTGCCGCATTTCTTAGATGCAGAAGGCCTCTGTCCCCCACACTGCTCAGAGTCAAGAAAAGCTCCTGACTTCCGTGTCAGAAGTTCTCACATTGAACATTCAAAGTGCCAGCAGAGAGACCCCAGAGGCCCTCACTCACAGGCCACACGCTCAGTTTGCACACAGTTCTATCAGTCAAGTTATACGGTTGTATGAATGTACGAAGAAACGCAGATGCAAGCATTCTAAATAAAATAGTAGCTAACATTGTATTTTTTAAAAATCAATGCACCATGATGATTAAGGATTGGCCCAGGAGTGCAGGGCTGGTTCCACATTAGAAGAATTCTCAGTGGATTCTCCACATAAAAGGCTCTAACAATCTGAAGACAGAAAGACCATGTGCTTTCCTCCATGGACACAGAAAAAGGCATTTGAAAAATTTAACACATATTTATGACTTACAAAAAAAACCCTCTTATTAAACTAGAAACAGACAGAAAATCCTTAACTTTACAAAAGTTAGATATACCCCAAACTTACAACAAACATCATACAACACTAAAGAACAGGCAGAAAAGACCCTATCCCACCAGAGACCAGGAATAAGGACACTTTGTGGAAGGAGGGCAGAGGAAATAACTGACAGAACGCAAGGGGGCTGCTGGGTGCTGGTTTAGCCTACTTTTTTTTTTTTTTTTTTTTTTTGAAACAGGGTCTCACTCTATCACCCAGGCTGCAGTGCAGTGTCACTGCTCACTGCAGCCTTGACCTCCCAGGCTCAAGCGATCCTCTCACCTCAGCCTCCCGAGTCACTGGGACTACAGGCGGTTGCCACCACACCTGGCTAATTTTTTAATAATTTTTTATAGAGACAGTCTTGCTATGTTGCCAGGGCTGGTCTCAAACTCCTGGGCTCAAGCAATCCTCACACTTCAGCCTCTCTACATACTTATTCTACTTTTTAACCTGGGTGGTGATGACACAGGTGTGCTCACTGTGTGACAATTCCTTCAGCTGGACCTTCATAATTTGTGCTTTTTGGAATGCATATAATACTTCAATAAAACAATTTCGTTTTAAAAACGATAATGTTTTTCTATCCCAGCACAACCAACTAGAAAATATACTGAAGTAAGATACATTTTCAGCAGCAAAAAATGCTAAAGTTCATAGAATTAACTTACCTAACACTATACAAGACTCCTGCGGTAATAAATTTAAAACTCTAATAAAGGACACAGAAAATGATCAGCATAAATGGCAAGACAGTCCCTGCTCTTAAAAGAACAGTTAAGGCCTGGCACGGTGGCTTACGCCTGTAATCCCAACACTTTGGGAAGCGGAGGCAAGCAGATCACGAGGTCAAGAGTTCGAGACCAGCCTGGCCAACATAGTGAAACCCCATCTCTACTAAAAATACAAAAAATTAGCTGGGCGTGGTGGCGGGCGCCTATAATCCCAACTACTCGGGAGGCTGAGGCAGGAGAATTGCTTGAACCCGGGGGCCAGAGGTTGCAGTGAGCTGAGATCATACCACTGCACTCCAGCCTGGGCAATAGTGCAAGATTCTGTCTCAAAAAAAAAAAAAGAAAGAAAAAAAGACAGCTAAATATTTTAGATGTAATTTTTCCAAAATTAATCTATAAATTCATTTTGTAAGTTAGAATTTTTAAGAAACTTGATAAACTTATTCTGAAACTGAAACAGAAAAACAAAGTTCTATGAATAGCTCAGTCTTTGAAAAAGCACAGCAAAGAAGGGCCATTTGTCCTAGCAGATATTAAGACACATGTGAAAGCCATAATAATAAAAACAATGTGGTACTGTCACAAGGACAGACAATGGAAAGTGACAATGGAAAAGAATAGAGAACTTGAGATTGTCCCGTGTGCTGCACAAACTTGATGTAAATAAAGGAGCCACCACAATCAGTGGGTAAAAGAAGGACTGTTAAGTACATGGTGTTGGGAAAACTGGCTCACTATAAGAGAAATAAGGAAACCAAAACTGGATTCCTTGCTAAAAGCACTTGAAGATCTAAAGGTGAAAGGTAAAACTGTAAAATTAATAAATCATGTGACATGAGGTAGGAAAGGACTCCTTAAAACCTCAAACACAAACCATAAAGCATAAACTGATAAACCTGATTATATCAAAATCGAGGGGTTTTAGCCCAGGAACAAAGTTAACAGACAGAGGACAGATAGGGAGGAAATATTTGCAATATCTAAAATGAACACAAGACTTTTATTAGAAATATGCAAGAAACTTTAGGAAACCAACAAGAAAAAAAACAAAAGGTAATAGGCAAAAGATAGAGACAAGCAATTTATTAGAAGAGGAAACTCAAGAAGCCAACAACATATTGAGACATGATCAAACTCATCAGTAATGAGAAAAATGAAAATTAAATCAATAAGTGATTTTTTAATCTATTAGATTGGCAAAAAACGTAAGAGCAGGATCACACTAAGGGTTGGTAGGTCTGTGCCAACCTATACACCTTCATGCACTGCTGAAGCAGGAGTTTGAAGAACTGACCACATTAGAATATGGATGGTAGATAAAAGTATGGTATCAATGTACACTTTTGAAGTTAAGTGTACTGTGGTTATGGAAGAGAATATTCTTAGAAAATACATACCAAAGTATTTAGCAATAAAGAGCCATGCTGTATGTTACCCTCCACTGATTCTGAAAAAAATTATATATGTGTGTGTGTTCCTTGTACTACTTGTATTTTTGCAGTGTTTTGTAAGTTTAAAATTATTTCCAAATTTTAAAAATGTCTTAATGAGGCTGAATTAAAAGAGGGGAGAGCAAAAAGAGATACAGAGAACATACCATTTATGTAAATTAAAAATACATGCACCCAAGACAGCAATATGTATTTTTACAATAGCACACACAAACAGAATGATCCCCCAGAAAGATTAAGCGGGTGGAGAAGGGGGAATGGGAGTGGAGCCTGGACAGAAACAAGGATAACTAACTTAATCCATCAGTCATCCAATCTATAATGAATCAGGGTAGAGTTCTGGCAGGACCAATGAGAATGGAGGCCCATAAACTGAAGAACAGAAGTAACCCAACCCTCCATGCCTAAGGTGTAAGGAAAAGGACAGGAAACCCAGAAGAGCTGGGCTCTGCTGACACTGCCACAAGGTCCGGGAAGCTCTATCTGCAACTGCACGGCTTAGAGCTCGAAAGGTTCTGTGTGCAAAAGGGTCTGAGATGAGGCCTAGGCAGAATTCCAAGAGGCTCAGCATTCCTCTGGCAGGCCAAGATCTTCTTTCCTCTAGACTGCCAGGTCTGTGTGTTCTGGTAGCTGCAGGCTATTCTTTAGAAAACAGACCCCTTAGACCAAATGCCTGTTTCCTACAGACACAGAACCACTGTCTATGTGACTCCCTTCAGACATACCCTCCCAAGAGCTTCAGCTTTTCCTGCAGCAGGATCTCACCCTACCTACCTGGATTGGTTGTGTCCTGTTTGTTACCTGGAGGAGAAAAGAGGGACAGAGATGAAGCAAGCATTCATGACATGATGACAGCAAAGACGTGCATTTTAAAATTAGTTCATTCATTCATTCACCAAATAGGTCCTAATCTCTCCTCTGTTCCCAGCCTGGAGCCAGAGGCCAGGGAGACAGAGGCGTGTCAAATAGAGCCTACTCTCAAGGAATACAGTGTCCAGCAGCGTGGACAGAGGTAAACACACAACCACCTGCATGAGATCAGTGCAGGGACAGGGCGGCAGGCTTCAGGGGAGCCCAGAAGAACTGGTGGACAGAAAAGACCACTTCAGTGGTAGGAGGGCTTACTGTGCCAGGTGTTAAAGATGAGAAGGTGAAACAGAAATGAAAAGTGATCATCACATTCCTTGCAGGAGGAACTTCGTCCTGTATGCCAGAGACTCCAGAGGAAGAGAGGCAAGGCCTGTGATGGCAAGAGATGAGCCAGGGGAGGAGAGTCAGGCATCAGTCATGAAGGCCTCGAAAGCTGAGCCAAGAAGCCAGGGTGAGACCCTCTGGGAAAAGGGAGATCAACAGAGGTATGACTGAGCCAGGCTTGTATTGTGAAAGCAGTATAGATATTAGACAGGAAGATGACAAGACTGAGGCACTGAGATCCCACCAGAGGCTCTGCAGAACCAAGGCAAGAAATGAGGAGGTCTGAATGAGGAAGTGGCTGTGAGAACAGACACAGTGTTCTCACAGGTGTTCTAAGGTGTGGGGGACTTAAGCACATGGGTGGGTCTAGGATCACACCCAGTTTCTGGTTTTGGAGAAAAGTGGCTGCCATCCACTTAGTTAGGAAACAATGAGGGAAGCCAGTTGGCAGGAAGAAGAAGACCTCAGCACTGACCCCAAGGGGTTGAGATGTTTCTAGGTCTTTCAGGTAGAGATGTCTAGGAGGCAGCTGCACATCCAGATATGTTTTATGAGGCACCATCACATACATGGCAACTCAAGTGAGTTCACCCAGTGAGCAGTTAAGAGGGGAGGAGCGGGAAAAAGAGAGCAGCTTAGGGGGCACGAACACGTCAGGGAGGAACATGTCTGCGGCATGGGACAGACACAGAGGAGAGGGGGAGTTACCCTTGAGGTAGAGGAGAATCAGGAGACTGCAGAAAATGAAAGAGGAGGAAGTGGTACAAAGGTCAGGGATGATCAGGGTGGAGACAGCCCAGGAAGGAGCTAAGGGTTAAGTGGGGAGCGAGGAGGCACTGGTGGGAAGCATGGAGTGAAGACAATTGGGAGGTCTGGCAGTGAAGAGGCAAGAGATGGGGGAGGAAAATCAGCAAAGCGAAAACAAGAGGGTACCTATGAGAGAGGATGGTGGAGGGAGTGTCGTACAGGGAGAGCCCACACAGCAGGGCACAGGTGAGCCGCTGGCCCTGCACCAGAAGCAGGTCTCTGACTCCTAAAGAAGTCGGTGAGGGTGGTGCTGAGCAGTCCAGCTTGGAGGAGCCCCTGTGGGTTTGGGGATTGGGTTCAGGAAGACAGCACCTGAATCCCGTGTTTCCTGAGGGAATGATGGGCTACTAGGGAGGTAAGCTGGGTTGGAATAGAGGATCTGGGAAGAAGGTGAATTTTAGAACACTCCTGTAGTGATGGGGACCAAGAATTTTCCTGGGCCAAAGAGCATGTCCAAGTGGGGTCTCCAGTGGGGCTCAGCTCCGTGCGAAGATCACAGCCGGGGGGTGGAGGGGGAGCCTATGAGAGGCCTGAGGGCGGCTCGGTTGGTAGGGACATTAGCCACGATGTCCAGACTGGGAGAGAAGGAAAAGACTGCCAGTGGAGAAGAGAAGGCAGGGGTTCCCCACAACGCTGGTCCAGGGGACTGTAGGACAGGTGTGGCCTGACGGAGGAGGCCAGAGGGGGCAGGAGTTTAAGATCCTGGAATTGCCCTAGCGAGGTCCTGGGAGCGAGTAGTAGAGGAAAGCTGATCGAGGGGTGCGTGGGCCGCAAAAATCCCCGACCCAGGAGTAGGCAGCCACACCCAAGGGGCAGTCCCCCGCCTCCAAGGCCAGGCACGGAGCCGGAGGCGGAGCAGGGCTGGGGGCCGGGGAGAAGGAAGGTAGAGCTGCGGAGGAGCGCCCACCTCACCCCAGCTCAGCGGCAGCAGAAGCAGCAGCGGCAGCAGGACGTGGCGGCTCAGGACTGAGGGCCTGGAAGTTCCGGGCCCCACGCCGAGGCTCGACAGCGAGACGGCCATGAGGCTGGGGAGGTGCCACCTGGCGGCTGCGGAGACGGTTCCCGAGAGCCCGGCACGTGCCTGGCGTCGGCACACGTGACCGCACTGTAGCACGTCATGGCGCCGGGAACTCCTGACAGCTCCCTACAAAACTGATGCATTTCCCTCACCTCCACCTCCTGCCTGTTCTTGAGGAGCCCTGTGTCTGTGATTGCTCCCAGCGTGGCGGGCCTCATGAAAGTACCCCCAAGGGTTTTAAGTTGGTGACAATGCCCCGAGAACCTGGCCGGTGAAGGTGCGCCACATCCCTGGACTACTAATGGCATCTTGTTGCCCAGCCTCTGACTCCACCCTTGATTCCCTGCACCCAGTGCACTGGAGAGTTTCACAATTACTCTTGCTTTGAGAATCTGGAAAGATGGAGAAAGCACAAATAAGGAAAAGAATGGTAAGGCTATGGAATCAGAGAAGATGTATTTGAAAAAGTGGTATTTGAGCTGGATCTAAGACCACTATAAAATAAGGACTCTTGGGGGAGACCAGAGAAAGGAAAGGCATGTGTCCTCTTCCACAGATAACCAGTAAGATCGTGGCAGCTAAAAGGAATGGGGTGGCTTGTGCCAGGCCTTGGGCTTCCACAGGGATTTTTTGCAGAAGATGCTGTCTTTGGATCTGCTAGGCATGGCAGAGATTGGGAGGTGATCAGCTAGACTTGGAGCCACATTCCCTCCCCAGCCTGGCACTTAAGTGGGTCCGCATGAATAGAGGTGATGTGTGCCACTTCCATGCCAAGGCAGTCAACAGGAAGTTGCCTTTTCTATTCTTGTTAATGCAGAGCATTGCTTCTCAAAGTGAGGTCTCCAGACCAGCAGTATTAGCATCAGCCAGAAACTTAGAAATGGACATTCTTTAGGTCTTTCGGGTAAATTTACATTCTTTTAAGGTCTTTCTACCTGAAAGACAGAGAATGTAGGCCCCATCCCAGACCTACAGGATTGAAAACTCCAGGGGTGGAACCAGGAACCAGGAATCTGTAATTTTGTTTTAAGAGATGAGGTTTCCTCCTGTTCCCCAGGCTGGAGGGCAGTGGTGTGATTATACATCTCTGCAGCCTCAAACTCCTGGGCTCAAGACATCTTCTTGCTCAGCCTCCAGAGTAGCTGGGACTACAGGCACAGGCCACCATGCCCAGTTAATTTTTTTTAAGAGACATGCTACATGCTCAGGCTGGTCTCAAGCTCCTGGCCTCAAGGGATCCTCCTGCCTTAGTCTCCCAGGTAACTGGGATTATAGGGATGAGCCACTGTACGGCCAGTAATCTGTATTTCACAAGCCTTAGGGGATTCTGATGCAGGTAAAGCGTTAACTACAGGATGGAGAGCAAGCCACGAGATGGAGAAAGCTATCTGCTGACCAAGAACGCTGTAATGGGATGTTCTAGGGAAAAAAAAGTTAAATTTGTTTTATTAATCTATGAATAAATCAGTGGTTTCTTAAAGCAGGTGGTGCTATATTCATTAAGAGACTGGGTTTGATGTAAGCTCTCAGTCTCTCGGCCTCAGCCTTCTTCAGGCAACAGAAGGGACTGATACAGACTGTCCACTGAAGCCCACCCATACCTGGGGGTTAAACATTCAACCCTAGAAGGGCAAAGGGCAAGAGGTTGGGAGGGGGTTGATCAGCAGCTAGACAGAGAGACTCCAGGACACCAGACTTTGTAACGAGAAGAGAGAACCTGTGTATACTACAGTGAATCTCTCTTGCCCTTCTCCCGATGGGATCGCATCTTTGGTAGCCAAGTGGGAGGGAGCAGCAAGGAGAAGCAGAAGATGAGAAGGAATATTTCTCACACCCGAACTTCACTCCTGGGCCCAGTTCCAGTGTCTCTTGATCCCCTATCCCTAACTGTAGAGACTGTTAAACTCAACTACAGAGCTCCCTGCAGAGATGCTGATGGCTATAACAGGCATACAGGGAACAAGACCCATTGGCTAAAACCATCCCTAGAGTTCATGTCTGAGGAGGCAGAGCCTCACCTGTCCTTCTACGTTTTAATAAGAACCATAAATAGCTTCCTTAGTTAAATGGGAAGCCAGTTCTCTATGGAGTATGTTATATTCAACCAAACTCCCCAGTGAGCAGAGCTTCAGAAACCGGAGACTCTCCAAACATTTATTCAGTTGATTTCTGAAAACTCCACACTCCATAACTGCCTCAACACAACTTGTGGTGTCCCTGAAAGTGGCCACTAGGGCACTGAGGAAGGGGATGCCAAGAATGGGTTGCTCCAAAAGAACTAGTGTGGCAGAGGCTGTCCACTCGCAGATGGATCCACACTGGGCTGCAGGGGATCTTCTCCCAGCCCCAGGCAGTGGAGCCAGAGTGGAAGTCCCAGGCCTCACACCTCTGCAGGGACCTGGTAACGCCTCCTTCACTCTCTCTGAGCAATCACCCAGCTGGCTGGTTTCACAAACTCTCAGGTGGGAGCCCTGACACCAGAACCACGTTGAACGCTTGCTTCACCATTGATGATGTCTCTTCTTTGATAGATGTTCCCCCAGATATTGATGAGTCACCGTGGCCCACCTGGCAGGGCAGCTGGCCCTCTAGCTGCAATCGCTTCACTCCCTCCTTCCCACCAGCCAGAGCACAGCCCTGGTGCAGGCGTAGCTGAGGAAAGTGACCAGAGCACCAGGCAGGGGCATGTTCCAGGCCCCAGTCTCCCTGCCATGCTCTATTGTATGGATCTCCAGAGGGACCGTGGATTCCAACTGGGATTTGCAGAAAGGGCATTGGGAAGGAGTGCGAGGTTGGTCAGAGAAGACACCTAAGTGTGAGACTCCGAAACAGCAGAAGAGTGGAATGGGGTCTGATCACAGGGCCACCAGGATGCCCAGGGGCATCATCAGACACAGGACTAGGATGAGGGAGTCTGCTGAATTCAGACAGGAAGCTTGTCTCAAGCGATCAATAATCCATTTCTTGTAGAAACTAACTTCTGTGTAAACTCCAGGGTATCCTTTGCGACCGCAGCCAACACCCCAGCTCACAATCCCCACCTGGAACCATGTGCCATTTAATTCACAGACCAGGGGCCCCCCAGAATCTCCCTGGAAAAAGAAAGATAGTCACTGTAGGAAAGAAATAGCATCCACATCAGAGCAGGCTAATTGCACTGCAATGGGCTGCAGAGCTAGGCACTCAGGGGGCTTCCCCAGGAACCCCTAAGACCCTCCCTAGCCTTGGGTATCTGTCAATATGAGATCTGAGAATTGACAATTTCCAATAAACCAAAATCATGTACCTACTAAAAAGGTGTGTTCCAAAAAACAGAATATACATAATGGAATCGTGCCTACTCTGAGACAATGATGAGTCAGGTGCTTACCTGAGTACACTGCCTGCCACACAGAAGGGGCTCAAGACATGGAGCATGTATCGTTGGTGGGACCTGCCTGATTCACCCCTCCGCCCACTCCAGGCTGTGTCAGCTGCTCTCTCCTGAAGGATCAGGTAGGCTGCCCAGGAGAGCCTTGGTGGCTTGTCCTCATGTCCCATTACCATGAATAAGGGTAACGGAGAGGCTAGGAGATAACCCAGGCCCTACTGGCTGGGGATGAGGAAGCTTTAAGGAGACAACTACAGTGCTGAGGTAGCAAGAGGCCCATGAACTGACCTGACAGGAATCCTTCCCTTGGTCATTATAGCCACAGACGGTCCCCCTCGTGACCATTTTACTCTTGGCTGCACTCTTCTTCTTGATTGTCTCACGACATTGCTCATGACGCAGAATGTTTAGCTTAGCCTCCCGAAGAACAAATGGCCCTGATCCTGAAACTGCAAAGAGACAACTTACAAGAGAGTGGATCTTCACAAAGGGATATAACAGGAGCCCCTAGTGCCCACTCTGAGTCCTGATCAGTGTGTTTAACACAACTGCCCAAATTAAAGGAAGTCAGGGCAGTGGATATTGGCCCCACTTGACATAGAAGGAAACTTGAGCCTGATGTTGACATGGAGAAAGGAAAGGACAAGAAGCAAAATCAAGACAGTAAAAGGAAAAACAGATCAGGAGAGAGGCAAGACCTTGTCAGCCTGAAAAATGACAACCAAGCATCTGTCACTCTGAGTATCAGCAGAAATGACAGGCTGTCCTGTGCATCAGTAAAGCATCTTTACTTTCTAGAACAGGATCACAGACTCTTGGACAGGTAGTGCCTCTCCCTAAGGATAGAAGCCCCCACAGCCTCACTGGCAGGGTTGCTCTGGCTTGGCCTACACTGCTAGGGTGAAGAAGTTCGACCCATCAAGGCAGGAACTTCTAGTGGGGGTTGGCTCCTATTGGCAGACAGCTCATCACCCTGAACTGAAATTCACCCTGAAGAGAACCCACTACACCTGGCCCCCAAGCCCCCAGGTCCCAATGTGACAACAGAAATTCATAGCATAGTTGTTAAATTACTTCCTGGCAGCATCTTCTCCACCCTCCTCCCTCACCCACATGCTAGAAAATGGCTTCCCTGCCTCTCCCAATAGCTTGCAGATCAAGCCCAGCCCACCAGGCTGTCCCACCTCAGCATCCTGTCTGTCTCACCTCTCTCTGACACTCGGCCCCATCCAGTCACCCAGCACTCTGTCCCAGTTTCCACTTCAAAAAGTTCTTTGGGGAGGCACACAGGCTGGATGTGTGAGGAATAATTCACAGAGTAGGCAAGCAGAGCAAGGGCAATGTCGTTTGTCAAACTGGCAAAATCAAAATTGCTAGGAAAAATGATGTCTTTAACAGGGATCACCAGTGTGTTTTCGGAACCGGCATTCAAGTTAGTGTCTCCCAGCTTCACCTTGTATTCCAAATCACTGTTAAGAGAAAAGATGGCCTTCACAGAGATGCTGGGGAGCGGGGGTGGGGGGCATCTATGCTCCCCTTCCACACCTTCCATGTGCTTCCCAGCCTGGTCCCATCTTCCTATGCCAGCCAGCAGCCACTTCCCTTCCTGCAAACCACATCCCCCCAGGACCGCTGACCACTTTAGCCGGTGGTCCCCAGATCAGCGGTGGCGGTGGCAACACCTGCAAACTTGTTAGAAATGCAAATCCTCAGATCTCACCCAGACTGGATAAAAACTATGGGGCTGTCACCCCCTTTTACAGATGAGGAAGAGGAGGTTCAGGGAGGGGGACAGACTGGCTCCAGGTCCCGCAGCCTGATCAGGGCCCAAGCTCTGAGCCCCAAACACTCACCTAAAGACACAGTGGGCAGCAGTGAGCACCCAGCGCCTGTCGATGAGGGAGGCTCCGCAGAGGTGTTTGTCCTCGGTCTGGAGGCTCACCTGCCAGGGCCACTTCCTGTTTAGGGCTGGCAATCCTCCAATTATCCTTGAAACACGGTGGCCACAGGCTGGTGGGCTCAGTAAAGAGAGGGGACTGGAAGTGAAGCCACTACCTTCCCCCCACCCCCACCAGGCTGCCCAGGGCGGAGGCGGGTTATCCTCTCTCTCAAATCCTGTAGGTCAGGGTCTTACCCTCAACCTCCCTGAGCCAGGCTGCGTCCCCTTTGACCTCCCAGGCAGGCCAGGACAGATCTAGCACCAGAAACAATACCCTGAGAAAATTGCCTTCCAAGGTCAGAGATCCCGTCGGATTCCAAGGCTTCTCCCACTGTAGATGCTGAAGTAACCCAGGATCCTGGAGGCCCTGCAGGCGCTGAAGTCCCTGGAGCTACAGAGGTTTCTGGAATTTTGGGGAATTTCGGGTGCACAGGAGGCGTCTGGGCTTCTGGGCTTGCCAGGTTCACTCTGGAATCCTCCTCGGGTCTGTATGGCTCACCTGGTGAAGACGGGGACCCGTGGCAAACAGGAGCTGGCCTGGCGGCGCCTCCTCCGCGTCTGCCTGTTCCCACAGCACCCCCACTGCCACCCCACACCCAGTGTGGGCGCAGCCCCGCCCCGCCCTGCCCTGTCCACTCCCGGCCTCACTGAGCAGGGGCTGAAGAAGCTGAAGCCAGATCAGGAAATGGAGGCTCAGGCGTGTGCCTCCACGGCCCCTGCGTAGGCCATCCTGGGACGCCATGGGCACAGTCAGCA